AGGAAACCCACCATGTGCAGAAGGGCATGCTTTCCAGTAAGGCTGGGGAGACACAAGGCTCTGTGTTGTAACAACTCACACTGGAGGAAGCTAATGCAACTTTACAAGACCTAACACACTCAACTTAGACTATAGACAAGACTTATTGTCATTTGCTAGGTTTGGGCATGGACCAATCAACAAAAGTACAAAGGAAAACCTCGGGCAAATCTTATTTCTTGCAATTCAGCAGATGTCACGCCTAAGATTGGACACTTCCGTTTTCTGTCTTTTCATCTACACACCAGTCATTCACTGAGCGTTAAATGCATACCAAGTCACTGCTAGACTCTGTCAATATAGAGTTGAATATATAACTGAAATATAGTTGAAAGCAGCATTAAATCTTTCACACAGGCAATTATGACCCAATCAATCACTTCTCATAAGTACCAGTTACATCTTCTCTTACCCTGAGCATAGTGGAAATCAAATTTCCAACATATGAACCTTGGGACATTTGAATCCATTTAAGCCATAGCTCTGACTCTTTCAAATGTTAACATAGGAGCAGTCAGCACTCAGACATTTTATAAAACACAGGTTATCATTAGAAAGGCCTGAATAGAGCCTTGGGCTCTAAACTTTCAAAAGTCTGTGTGTCACTGTGGGTCTTTCTTCAGAGCAAGACAATTTAACACCCTACCAGGCTTTTCTTCTGACATTCACACACATGTAGAGATTAAAAGCATGATAGAATAATCCAATTATATCAGCTCAATGGGGTGAAGTTCTTGATTAAAGAATCTGTACTCCCTCCCCAAATTTTATAGACCTTTCAGCTTGTCTAGTCCCTAAATTCTCATGAGACTTTTTGCACTTGAAGCAACTATCACATCATTGTTCTGCACTGCTTTGCTGTTATCAGTATTTCATTTTCTGTCTCCCAGTCTGGTTTCACTGAGTTTCTGGAAAGTGTCTTATTCATATGCCTCTATATTGACAAATCAGGAGGTGATTTGGTATGAGTTTAGCACTCAGTAAGTGACTATTGGGCAGAGAAAACAATAAAAAAAGGAAGAACTCAGTCGTAGGCGTGGCATCTACTGAACTGCAACAGAGATGAGATTTGCCCAAGGTTTTCCTTTGGCACCATGACCAAACCTACCAAATGACAAGAGGTCTTGTCTGTGGACTAAGCATTTGTCCCAGAGTTTTCTTATTGTTCTTGCTCTTGTTTTTCTAATCAACAAATACAAGAAGCCCTTGGCTGTATTAGTTCTGCTGTACTAAAGCATCGGGATACCTTTCTCCACACTTCTCATTGACAAAGCTTCCCTAGACATTGTTTTTATACAATGAAGTCCTTGACTCGACAGAACAGTCATAACTGAGAAAGAAGGAAAGCCTGGTGACCACAGAAGATTATAAACCATTTGATTGGGGATTAAGGAAGTTGACTTTTAAGTCCTGTCTATACAAGAAATGAATATTTGTCTACATAAAGGGAAATATGCCTGCATGAGGCATGGATGCAGGTAGGGAGCAGGACACATGCTCTACGGATTTCAGAATGCAATTGTATTCTGCTTAAAAGAGTGGTGGTCATGTTCAGTACTTTTACAGGAAAAGGTAGGGTTCAATCACTGTTCCTTGTAGATAAACTAAATGTATATTTTTTATTTTAATAGTTTTAATTTTATGTATGCTTGTGTGTCTGTACTTGGAAAAGAGCATGAGAACGGAGGTAAATGCAAAGGCTAGAAGAAGGTGGTGGATCCCCTAGAATTGGAGCTACAGGAGGATATAAGGTTCCTATCAGGCACTGGAAAACAAACTCCAGTCCTCTAAAAATGCTGAAAGTGCTCTTAATAGTTTAGTCACTTTTCCAACCAGCCCCTTACTAGAGGGAATGCTAGGGAATAACTGAGCATTGGATGTAACTAGAGATCCAGCATAACTGTTTTAGCCTGTCATAGAGTGATGCTAATGTGTCTGTGGTCATATGTATTCAGTCTTACCTGATCTTGGAAGCCAAGCTGAATTGAGTCTGGTTAGTACTTGATGTGGCAGTGTTGTGACCATTCCCACTATAACAGCTTATATGAATTTGTAAAATCCTGGGGCTGTTCATTTTGAGCTGAGTTACCACAGGTTTATAGAATAACAATACCTGTCTGTGACTAGAGGCTAAAAGCCTGACTGATGCTATAATCAAATAAATTAGAGGAAATGATATAATATGAAATAAAATGCTCAGCACTATGGTTTAGATGTGGCTCACTTGTCTAAGGGTTCACTGCTGAAAATTTGATTTCTGTGATGGTAAGTGATGATGTAACTGGAGGGAGATAGACCCTAAGAGGAGGTGGGAGCTTCCTTACCTCTGAAAATTAGACTTCTGCAGATCTGTGATTGCAGATGTGACCCTGTTGCACTAATCTGGAAAGGGCTTAGCAAACTCTGTCTTCAGCTAAGTCCCAGGACAACAGACAGCATTTCTACCTCTGTCTATTTGAATTCATCCTACCTGTGAGATTTCCTGAGATAGTCAACGAAAGCATTAAAACTGCATGAGAGTCTTCCTGAGAAGCCTAAAGAAAGCATGTCTCATATATGAGTCCCATCACAAACACCAAGTCACCCTGTCTCCTCACAGGCTCTGATTTCTGCATAGTGGACTGCATTTTCCACAGCCTTCATACTTCTCCAGAAGGAGAAAAGCTAGGGTCTGAAACATAGGGTGTATCATACCAAGCCACCATTATACCAAAGACAGACTTCACTTTAGTAATATCATGGAGGAGGGCAGGTTTTAATCCTGCTTATTTTTAATGTAATTGATTAAAAGAATAAAATCAGATCCACAACATCACACATAACCACCAATTCAACTAAAAAAAAAATAGTGATCTGAATGTGAGACCCGAAACTTTGAAACTGTTAGATGAAAACACGAGTAAAACACATCAAGATATCAAACTCCAAAAACACCAAAGTCATCCCCAAGACTGACACAAGGAAAGAATCGCCATGAACTTAAATAATTGTCACAACAAAGAAAACAATGGTTAGGGTGAAGAGAGACTGGAGCCTGGGAGGAAACCTTGGCCACCTGTCCATCTGACATAAGATTAATATCTAGAACTGAAGAACTAGAAAAGAAGCCTCCAGTCAATGAATGGACTAATCAGACAGTTCTTGAAGAAAAAATGCAAATGATTAATATACATTTTAAATATTGAAAATTTTAAATCATCAGGGAAATTAAAATTATTACAGATTTAATATTCCATCTCACTCCAATCAAAATCACTATCCTCAAAAAACAACTAATTCTAGCAAGGATGTGGAAAAATATGGAAACCTTATACATTACTATGTTCATGTAAACTGGTGTCATCACTATGGAAATCAACATGTAGGTTCCTCAAAAGAATTAAAAATAGAAATACATTAAAAATAGAAATAAAGCATGATTCAGAGATGCTGCTCACTCCTGGCATATACCTCAAAGGTCCTAAGTCAACATGCACATTGTTGATATTCAATCATCCATATTTATTGATACAGTGTTCCCCAGAGCCAAGGTCAGGAAACAGTCTGGAGTCCAGCGTTGATGAAGAAAATGTGGTACAGACATACAGCAGAATTTTGCCCAGTGTAAAGTGACGTGAAAATACAGAAGTCACCAGAAAATGTATAGAATTGAAGTCCATTGTGCTAAGGGAAGTAAATCAGACTCAGGAAGACAAATATCACATGATTTCTCTCATATGTAGTATGTAGATTAAATTTGTGTGTGTGTATCTCTGTGTGCATGTGTCTGTCTGTCTCTGCCTCTGTCTCTCTCTCTCTGTCTCTGTCTCTCTCTCTGTCTCTCTGTCTCTCTCTCTCTCTGTCTCTCTCTCTCTCTCTCTCTCTCTGTCTCTCTGTGTGTGTGTGTGTGTGTGTGTGTGTGTGTGTGTGTGTGTAGTTATAGGACATGAAAGGACAAATGAGACCAGGAGAGGAGAGAAAATGTCTAAAGCAGGAGGGAGGAACAAGTGAGGGTGGCAGAATATTTGTGCTATGAAAGCACAAAGTGGTCTACCTTGGGAGAAGAAGACCTTCAGCAAAGGGGAGGGACAATGAAGGGTATGGGAATGAGGTAAGAATGATATATATGCATATTTATCATATGTCTCTGGTGATATATATATATACATCAAACTGCCATTTTGAAAATATCATTTATATTATTCTAACAAAAAATGTAAAAAAAATACTTTTAAGATAAGGAAGAGAACAAGAATGACAAGGAAGAACCAGAGAAAGAAGGAAATAGAGATCAAGAATGAACATCTACATTCTCCCACACCACAGCCAGTTTAACAGAAAACCTGGCTCCATAGTCCAGAGCAGGTTTAATGAATCGCAGTCCTCTGGCCAGATTCATTCCCATTCTTAATAAAGTTTTAGTGGCATACACTTCATTTCCAATGGGTTCTTTGGATCTTCAGTCTTTATAGTAGTTTCAACATAGACCAAATGATCCACAAAGTAATTATTATCTGGATAAATAATTAAAATTTATAATTTTATAAATAAATTTATTTAATTTATAAATTTATTTTAATTTAAATTTTTAATATAAATTATAAATTTATTTAAATAAATTTAATCAATAAATAAAAAAGTATCTGAGAAACTTTGCTGACCTCTGACCTAAGGAACTTAGTTTTATTTCAATCCTGTTTATTTCCCTAAATACCTTTGAGTAAGTCTTCTTCAGGCTTTGATTTCTCCAGTTGAAGAATGTTTAATCACCTAATGAACCACTGCCTCAGATTTATTTTCCCACTGTTCTGCAAACATTAGCATCTACTGTATTGGTTTAGACTTATGACTATAACTGACTTGAGAAAAGGAACACAGTTTTGGGTCTTATGAATTCTGCTTGGCACAAGGCTCTAGTTAAGTCCTTAGAAAGTCTATGGAGGAAAACTGAACTAATCTGAATTATCTTTCTTTTACTACAGAGAGATCTCTCAAAATGATGTCTTGGAAGTAATAGAGGCAGATGTATTCTCCAACCTACCCAAGCTGCATGAAATGTAAGCAACAGTACAGTGTGTGTGTGTGTGTGTGTGTGTGTGTGTGTGCATGCGCGCACATGCAGAAGAGGGTCATGATATCATAATAAGCCCTAAAGTTCTTTTGTACTCCTTGGAAACTTTGACTCTGCTCTGCCCTCAGATCCATAGATCATCATTACAAGATACCAGAGGCAGCCTAAAAGGGACTGTCATTTGACTCTGGCTGGAGACACAGGCACCATCCTCTACTTTAAACTTTATTCTGTTTACTGACTCTCTCGGTTGGTTTTCTTCTTGTTGTTTTATGTCACAGGCTCTAGAACCCCTGTCCTACAACGATGGGAAAACTCCTCCTTCCCATTACCTCATTCAATGTTACAACTACAAAAGCCAAAATAATTCCCACTCAATGTGACTGAGACTGGATAAGCCTACCCTAATAGCTGCCTTTGCAAATGCATGAAGGCTCAACCAAGAACCAGAACCATCTGAGATTTCAGTTTCTCATCTGCAAAACTAGAGTGAAATCCACACTTCCAAAGTAGTTGTGATGAAAAAAGGACAAGATAAACATCAGTTCAATCTAGCGTTATCAACCAGCAAAGCAGCTATATTGTAATGACCCTTGGTAGTTCTACTAGTATAGACAAACTTACTTTCTCTTGACATTCTAGTTGTATATACATGCAATACATAGATCTAATAATGTTCTACACATAATTATGTGTCTAATTACTGGAAGATAATTCATAGACTGGTAGGATGTCAAGGCCACAGAGACTGTCAAGACTGTCAGTTCAAAGAACATTCAAAGTATGTTCTACCTTTTACTATGAACCCAGGAAATTATTTGATGTTCAATAAAGGAGAGAGAAAAATATTTTATGATCAAAACGATTAGGAAACACTGAGCAAATAAGAGGAAATAATCTCATTCTCCAGTAGAAAAACTCTGAAGCTATGTAATGCTAAGATACATTTGGGATTTCCAAGAAAAATTTGTGCAGTCTATGTGTGTGCATGCATGCATGCATGTGTGCATGTACGTATGTGTGCATGTGTGCGTGTGTGTGTGTTTTAATGAGTTTATTTAGAAATCACAACATGCCCATTTTGACCGACTCCTTTTTCCTTCTGTCAACCCATTCTGTCTCCTTCCTGATTCCTCCTCATTTTCATTAATGTCTTGTTCCCTTATTCTCTCTCCACCTGCCCTAATCTTACTCTAGTTAGGAAAAGAGACCTTATAGGACCTCAAAGTCCACAAAGACTGTCAGAGAAATGAACCAAAGCCACAGTGTGACGTGCCCTGTGTTGCCATCCAGTGGACAGCGGGGCTAATGAAACGGGTCTTGTATCTCTTCCTTACATGGAGAGGCACTCAACCCCATGCAACACTAACTGTCTTTAAAATGATTAATTGCCTTGCAGTTGGCTCTGGTTAGCTACAGGTTACTGCAACATAAAAGCTAATGAAACAGGAAGGATGTAATTAACAACAGTATCTCAGCAAATATACATTGATCCCACAAGATGAGAAAAAAGATAGGTTCTCTGCGGGAATCTAAATGTGAATAGTCTCACTTCCAGACTATTGATCAGGACACAACACAGGCTAAAACCACCATGCAGAACTCACCACTCCCCATCTGCTGTGGGGAGCCAATTGAGGCTACAGAATGAGGGTGGATGGGGGACTGGCCTCCATCCAGGTGCTGGAACTTGGTGCTTTAAATCAGACACGGAAGTGGCTTTCTCCCAGATTTTGTTTATCTTTGCCATTTCATTTCCATTTCTCTAGTCTTTTTGCTACCTCACCTGTAACCCTCCCGCCCCCTCTCATCTTCTTTTCAGCCTTTCTGGCTGGTCTGAATGTCCTTCTCTTGGCTTCAGAGCTGTCACTAGTTCAATTCCCCCATGTGAGTGTCACCTGCCCCTTCTTAGTTCACCCTGGTTCTGGGAGATTCTTACTAGTAAAATCCTCAGCTCTCTTCATGGTTAAAAAAAGGACTGGAGGATGGGTACCAAGAGATGAGCGTTAAATGGACAGGGTTAGTACTCAATTTACACAGATTTATACAATAAAGGATCCTGCATGCTTGCTCAATATTTGCTGAAATGGCAGCTGGATCGATGGATAAATGGGTAGATGGATGAATGAATGACTTGATTGTTTACTGGCAGGCTCTACATAACATGAAAAATGCCATGATACTTCTTGCCGTTCAAGTCACTTACACGTATCTCCCTCTTTTACAGTAGAATTGAAAAGGCCAACACTCTGCTGTACATCAACCCCGAGGCCTTCCAGAACCTCCCCAGTCTACGATATCTGTAAGAGCTCATTCATTATAACCTTCCTTCTGTTGTTAAATTGTGCATTCATATTTTAACAAAATCTCCAATTGCTACTGTCGGAATAATCAATCACTTTTTCAATAAGAATGGGCAAGGGTTACAAGAGCAAAGGTGGGGGACAGATGGTAGTGAGTCTGGTTTTATTTAATGAGAAAATTCCACTAATGTAATTGCATTTTGTTTTCATTTTCAAATGAGGACTATCCTTTTTTCACATTTACAGGATTGTCGTGCAGGCCTCTTACAGAATCAAGTCATAACTTAGGGTTAGTGAGATGCAATCAAACTTTGTACTATGTTTCATTTTGCAACCTTGACTTCTAAGATATTGTTTGTCTCACTTGTTTTGCATTTAAATATTTTTTTTCTCAGAGAGATTGGAGTGTTTTATTTTGTACATCTTGGTCGATAACTGTCATGGTATTTTATCAGCAGAGAGATTCCTGATGTCTGAACTCCATCCTACAACCTGTCCCCATCAGCAGACACAGTTTCCTACACTCGAATGACTTTTACATTAGCCAAGGGCTTGACAGATACTTGAGTGTTATGATGAGATCTTACAAAACAGCAGACAAGAATCTAGACCATGGAGTCGAGCTTCCTGAGTCCATTTGCTAGCTGTTTATCAGAAGCAAGAAATTAACCTCACAGGTTGATTCCTCACCAAGAAAATGGAAATAACAATGCATATAGGTTATTAATGTAACAATACTAAATAGAGGCTTAAAGCAACAACCGTCTATCATTTTTTTTACCTATCTTGGTTGTTCAATCAAATCAGCCTGCTGACCAGGGCTTGGTTTGCTTGACCTCAGCTAAGCTTACTCATGCTGGTCAGCAGTTTCCTCTGGGGTGGGCCATTCTCAATGGTCCCGGTTAGAATGACTCAGCTATCCTCTCAGGAATGATCATCTCCGCTGTGCTAGTGTAGGTTTATTTTCACTGAGATCTCAGAGTTTCAAGAGAGACATCTGAAGAACCCAAGTTTCTTTGGCGTACACCCTAAATATCACACCATCTCTTCTTGTGCATTTTATTAGACACAGAAGTGAAAAGAACCAGCCTGAATTAAGGAGGTAGAGAAATAGGTGTGACTTCTTGATAGTAGAAAGGGTAATTATGATATGGGGGGTGTGGACACAGGAAAGTAAAATAGGCTTGAGGCCACCTTTGCAATCAATCCAGAGTACATAAAAAGTTTTTCCTTGTGCCTATGTCATGGGGCAAAACTTCCAAGGACCACTCAACAAAACCAGCGTCCAAATTTGAGATTCCTCTAAGGCCAGCCTGTGACTGGCAGGAAAGAAACAGTTCTCATGGAGCGCCCTCACTGCTTTCTGCTGGGAGCTTTTAAAAGCAAAAATCATATCTTGTTGACAGTTGCAGGGAGAGGAAGGGGAGCAAGCAAGCAGTTTAGTGGAAGCATAAAGCAGAAGTTAACTAGGCCAATTTGACCTCAAGTCCCTGGAATAAGGTTGGGCAATTTTCTAAGGGCTTTTCCCAAAAGAAGGCATGTAAGAAGGGTGGAGGTCAGTTGTGTGTCAGACCTTAGATGGCTGAAGCAGGGACAAGATGGAAGGACCTTGGCCCTGTCTCACCTATCATTCAATAAATATTATCTGCTAATAATATCATTCTCTGGCCCTAAATTTTGGTCCACACTAACTAGAGTCAGTAATTATGATAAAAGGTACTGAGCCATTGGTAGACCTCAGCTCTCTGAGTGGGAACTAAGGAATAAGATTCAGCAAATGAGAGTCCATCTACTCTTCCATGCCTTATCTATGACAGGTTCTAGAGAAGAAAGAAGGTTGATTTCTTCTGAATTCATGCTGCAGGCAGGGCAGCTTCATGGGCACGCAGCACATGCAGTTACATGGCTGCTTTCATTCTTCTTTCTTTCTCCTTTCTCTAGAAGATAACTGAGCATAATGTGGGATCACAGGCTCTTCTGTAACAGAACAAAGGAATTGTAGAAAGTGGAAAGGAGTTCCTGGGTTAGATCAATTGGCAAACTGCTCCAGTCTGAGCTCTACTGCATGGGATAGATTCATGAAGAAAACCTCATGCACACATTTCATAGTTCCTTCACACAATAAATAGCCTGTCCTAAAAGAGCACAGCGTAGCAAGTGAATGAGGACTGAGAGGTCAGCTCCAAACTCTGAAACTCAGTGTCTGGAACTTGACTCTGGGGTTGGCAATAGAGCTCAGTTGTAGGGCTTAGATTGGTCCTAAGTATCACAAAAAAATAAACTAGAATTTGACTGATATTGGTCCACACATCATGACCAGCACCATTCATTCTTCATAAAGGGGACCCTGACGAACTAGGAGGATGTACATTTGGAACTCACTGTACAGCAAGAGAAGGGGCCAGGGGACCTTCAATAGAAAAAAATGAAGCTCTGCCTTTGATTTCAGAGGAAAATAAAAATCTGCGTCACTTGTAATTAAATCCAGCCTCCTCTTAGTGCCCTTTCTCACTTTGAGGTAAGCAGTTCTCTTGAATCAGTATCAGGGAAAAGCTAACTTCATGGACACACAACATGGAAATTTGCTCAAATCCCTATGTGTCCTATATTGATCCTGCCTGGTTCCCATGGCTGTGGACAGAGAGATAGCTGTAGCTGGTTCCAGTCACATTGTGTTTAGGGAGATCATTCCTCACAACATTTCAAAGCTGCTTTCTGAGGGAAAAAAATAGCTAGTAAGAGATTGGGAGAGATTTCATTTTATTGTCAAAAGATCCTCTTTTACTACTCAAAAAAAAAAAAGCCACAGCAAAATATTGTTGTCTTGATCAGTTCACAATGCTAAACAGTATACCTCTATAGGCTTAAATCACAAGTTACTATTTCTCAGTTGTCTGGAGGTTAAATCTAATATCAGGTGCTCCCTGATGAAGTCCTTCAAGAGGGTCCTCTTTGTGGTGTATACAGCAGTCTTCCCATTGTGTCTTTGTATGACCTCATAGGAATCTATAGGAAAAGAGGAGAAAATCCCAGGTCTATACCTGCTTTTATGACATCATACTGTGGTTTAGGGTTTCACAATAAGTTAGGGGGAAACACCCAGTGCATAGAATGACATAATCAGCACAGAATCGTTTCACATCTGGAGTCCTGTGGCTCCCCCATAAGGAATTTGAGAATAGCAATTGTGTGTCTTAAGCCTTTTGACTTCTGGCTAAACTAAACCTTCCCCAGATTTGTATACCACTTCAGCATGCAGCACAAGATACCCCTGGAAGTTTAAACAACTCTACCCTGCAACAGCACTTCAGACAGCAATACACCTACCTCTTCATGACTCAGACAGCTGCTCTTTGGAAAGATTTTCCAGGTCACTAAAACAGAGCAAAAATGCACAGCAAGTTCTCTTGTCTGGAAGATTCTATCAGAGAAGCTGTCTATGTACAGTTAAGCTCCCGTTTTGCATTAGTCAGATCCGGTAACCACAGCAAACCACACAAGATAGGGTGGCTTCAACAAAGGAGATTCATTTCAAGCACGGAGGCTGGGAAGTCCAAAATCAGGACACTGGAAGATTATTCCACTGTAGCAAGTCTCTTCCTGACTTTAAGATGGCCTCTTTCCCCTCATCCTCACAGAGAGTGTGGCCACACACCTAAAAGAGCAAGAATGTACACAAGTAAGCCTCTGATGTTGCTTCTTACAGAGACTAACCCAGTAAGAATAGGGTCCCACTCTTATCATCTCACCAAAGTGTAACCCTCTCCTAAGTATTTTCTCCAGATACAGTCACGGGAGGATTAGGAATTGATGTTATGAGCAGGAGAGGGACACATGTTAGATCTTTGTGCCCCTCCTTCCTTGCTTTTTCCTCTCATCACAGCAGCCATCCATACAGCTTTATGATTCTGCAGCCAGGGAGAAATAGAAATAAGAATTTTACATATTCTTTGGGATGGTGAAAACTTTCTTCAAGAAAAAGAAGCACAAAATGAATGAAGAAATCCAGTCGGGATGAGCTGCTGCTTGTCTGTTCCTAACAGTGTCGTCATTCTTGTTCGTGCTTTAGTAAAGCCAGGATAAATATTTAGCAACAGAGCAACCAAAAGCAGAAAATTAGCAGGGGGCGGAGATGAGGCGCCATTTGACTTGAGCATCCTAATTGCTGCGCGCGCACACACACACACTCAGAAATGTTATGCTGAAGCTCTACGTGTTGATTCCATTCCATGCTGTTCCCTTGATAGCATAGAATTCAGGACAACTAGAAATCAGCACTCTTCATCAACCCCTTCACGCTTCACAGAGGAGCCTGACGTCGTTAAGAAAGAACGCTTAGAAATAATGAAATGCTCTTAAACCAGGAGAGTATGCACCAACAGATCCATCTGAATGCACTGTTAAGGCAGTATTTTATTTGCAGGCAATCTTTTTCTGCTTTGCCTTCCTGGAGCTGACCTTTTATGTATGAAAGATTATCTATTGATCTGTAAATAAGGTTTATACAAGATTCTCTTGCCTTTGCATCCTGTCAATGTAATTCCCAGGCAGCTGGGTGCTGTTGTTCACTACTCAATAAAGTATAATTCCATTTAGTAAGCATGTCTCGCTGCTCCACAGAAGTGTGTCCCACCCAAGCCACCACTGAGAGCCATCTTCCTCTCAGACATTAGCCATTAGACCTCCTCTAGAATACCCTGTGATGTTGCTGGGCCATTTGCTATCTGCAGTGAGAACCATTCTAGGAGATGCCTTCCAGAGACACCCCTCAGCAGTCAGGCTGTCTTACCCCAGCCTTGGTACTAGAGCTTTTCTGACATGAATATTCACTATTCCTGCAAAATGGATTACTTCTGGTCCTCAGTGAGGCTCTCATCTCTGTGGTGGCTGGGGAAGAGTCACACAAAGATCCAGTTTTAGAAACCATGGCTAACATACGCATGATCCTTTTCCACTTGTTCTATCCTTTGGGTTAGAAATTGTCCAGTGAGGAAGAATT